AAGGAGAAGGAGAAGGAGAAGGAGAAGGAGAAAAAGAAAGAGAGGAGAAGGAGAAAGAGAGAAGGAGAAGGAGAAGGAAGAGATGTAGGAGAGCTCATTTTGGGCTCACTCCCTGCAGGGTTCAGCCCTAGCCCAGGACACAGCGCTGCCCAAATCCCGTGGCTCCCCAGGGGACACACGGATCCATTGGGACACACCTGCCCAGGTGAGCTGCGGGAATTAGGAGAGCTCTGGGGAGCTCCAAACTCCTTTATTTTTTACACCCTTTTGTATTTCCCCTCCTCGAGCCTCTGGCAAAGCCCCCGGCGGCGGGACGCGGGTCCCTAATTCCAAAATGATCCCAAAAGATGGGTGTGGAGGCAGGAGGAGGCTGGAACCCCGCTCCATGCCCTCCCCACACCCCGCTGCTTTCCCAGAGGCGTTCCCGGCCAGCCGGGCTCTGTTCCCCGGTCTCGGGACGCCCTCAGCTGGTGACGGAAAATGCCGGGAAAGGGAAATAAAAGTTATTGGGGCATTTTGTCCTCTCATCCCGCAGCACCGCCGGGACACGGGCTGCTTCCCCGGGAAAGGGAACGCTGGGACTCAGAGACTCAGAGAACCCTGGCACCCTGAATGGTGCTTGTACCCAGGGGACGCTGGCACCCAGGGGATTTTGGTACCCGGGGGATGCTGGTACCCAGGGGATTTTGGTATCCAGGGGATTTTGGTACCCGGGGGATGCTGGTACCCAGGGGATTTTGGTATCCAGGGGATTTTGGTACCCGGGGGATGCTGGTACCCCGGGGATGTTGGTACCCAGGTGTGGAATCTCCCTTTCTTCTTGCCAAGGTCGGGATTAAATGCTTGAGATGGCATTTCTTGTTCTTACTCAGATGTTTATCAGTTCTTATCTCTGTCCCAGTCTCACAGACCCTGAGTTCTACAGCATTTCACTCCAACACACTAAAAACGGAGCCCTGTCTCTCTCTACAAGGCTTTTTAAGGATAAACTGTCCAATTAAGAAATGACACCTGAATTATTTCCACTTTTAACCCAATACCCAATGACCTGGGCCCTGCAGGGGGGGGACTTTTTATCCAATGACACAAAATCTCCCAAACCCATGGAGGAGAAGGAGAAGGAGAAGGAGAAGGAGAAGGAGAAGGAGAAGGAGAAGGAGAAGGAGAAGGAGAAGGAGAAGGAGAAGGAGAAGGAGAAGGAGAAGGAGAAGGAGAAGGAGGAGCAGCCTCCACCCCAAACCCTCCATCTTGCTCTGTATATATCACTACATTCTAAAGCCTTAAACTCTGAGTTTCTCCCCCTGTGATCTCACACACTTCTATTCAAACCCCACACCCACAATCCCAGTTCCACCATTCCATTCTGGAAGCTTCTCCAGGGCCTCAGGTCAGTGCAGTGTTCTCTGGGGGTCAGTGCCTGGCAGCACAGAAAGCCTGGAATTCTCAGTGCCCAGGGTTCCAACACCCAGGGGATGCTGACACCCCGGAATGGGGACACCAGGGGCTGCTGGTACCTGTGAATGGTCCCTGGAAATGACCTAGGGCCAGCACAGGGGACATGGACCTGTCCCAGCAGGGTCAGAGGAGACCCTGGAGCTGCTCTGGAGCCAGGCTGGGAGAGCTGGGAATGTTCCCCTGGAGAAGGGAAAATTCCAGGGAATGCTCAGAGTGCCTCTAAAGGGGCTCCAGGAGAGCTGCAGAGGGGCTGGGGACAAGGCCTGCAGGGACAGGAGCCAGGGAATGGCTCCCACTGGGAAAGGGGAGATTGGGCTGGGATCTTGGCAAGGAATTCCTGCCTGGGCTGGAATTCCCAGAGCAGCTGGGGCTGCCCCTGGATCCCTGGCAGTGCCCAAGGCCAGGTTGGATCCACCTGGGACAGTGGGAGGTGTCCCTGCCCATGGATGGGGTGGGATGGGATGGGATTTAAGGTCCCTTCCCACCCAAACCATTCCAGGGTTCTGCATCCCCTCTGCTCTGGAGCCAGGCTGGCAGAGCTGGGAATGTTCCCCTGGAGAAGGGAAGGCTCCAGGCAGAGCTCAGAGCCCCTGGCAGGGCCTGCAGGGGCTCCAGGAGAGCTGCAGAGGGGCTGGGGACAAGGGACAGAGGGACAGGGCACAGGGAATGCCCAGGGGACAGGAAAATTGGGATCTTGGGAAGCTCTGAGGTTCTTTTATGCAGAGAACCAGATCCCAAAATATTCCTGCCCAAGAGGGGATGGGAAAAGCCCCAGGGATGCAGGTGAGGAGGGGGGGCACATTTCAGCAGCTGCCAGCCCACGGAGGCTTCCCAGCCCCATAAACCCCAGCAGGAATCAAATCCCAACATTCCCAGTGCCAGGGCTGGGAGCTCAGAGGGATTTTTGCTAATGAAAATCCCAGGCAGGGAGGAAAGCTGAAAGCAGGCAGCAGGGCTGGCTGGGGAGGAGGGATTTAGGAGCTTGGCAGGATTAAATGAACACAGAATTAATGAAAGGGCTCAGAGAGGGGAGGCCAGGACTCCAGGAGGAAATTCTGGTGCCTTGCTGGGTGAAGCCAGTGCTTAACCCAGGATGCTCCTCCCTCCCTGGCAGGAATTCACCCACCCCAAAAGACACAGCAGAAACCCCAGAGCAGACAGGCCTCAGGATCTGAATGATTTTAGAATTTTAATGACTGGAGAGCCAGGGGGGCAAAAGCTGAGCTGCAGGGCTGGGGTGGAGGGGGCACAGAGGGGCATTTCCAGGTCACATTTCAGGGCTTCAAAACAACTGTCCTGCATCAGCTTTGCAGAGGAAAAGTCTCTGTGTGTGTCTGTGCCTGCTGGATGATGGGAAAAGGACCAAAAAAACCCCACAAATAGTTAAAAGGAAGGGGCTGAAGCCCCAAAGCAAGGCTTGGACCCCAAACCTGCAAGGGCAGCAGGGCAGGTGTCGTGAACGGCGGGAGAAATGCGACACACCATATGCGTGAATAGCAAATCCCGAAGTTTATTGAAACCCCACACATATTTATATTGGTGTTAATGAAGCTTATACATATTGCAAAAGCTGAGCTCATTATTGGTTAAAGCACACTTAGATCAACCACATCTACTTCTATCTTCTAACAATTATTTTGCTTCTATGTTTGCATTCTTCTAACTTTTCTACCTAAGATAACTACATTTTCTGGCAAGCGATTTTCTCCCCCGTCTTCCCGTTTCAGAGAAGGTCACTGTGACCTTTGTCAGTGATTGGACACTGGTTATTCAGTTCCCAGCTTGTTTCCCCTATCCTTATCCATTGGTATCACATCAAAATGTCCTTTCTCAGCTAACCAATTATCCAAAAAGCTCTCTACAGGCAGGAGCTCAGGGCTGTGCCTTTGCTGTGTGCTTTGCTCAGTTTCTGTGAGCTGGTGCCCCAGGCAGGCTCCCGAAAGCCCCAATTCCTGCAAGGCTGCTCCCTCTCCTGGTGCTCACTGGGGTCGGTGGGAGAGCACGGGAGAGGCTTTGCTGCTCTTGGAGCAGAACCTGCCCAGCCCCGGGGAGCAGGGACAGAGCTGGGGCTCCAGGGACTGTCACTGATATTCCTGGGAAATCCCTTGGCCAGCATTGCCCTCCTGAGAGGCCTCAGAAATAAACATAACCAAGAATTCTCTGATTGCTGGCAATGTGCTCTGGAGGCTGCTCACCCACTGCTGCATCCTTGATTGGTTCCATGTGGATTGTTCTTAATTAATGACCAATCCCATCCCAGCTGTGTCAGACTCTGGTCAGCCACAAGATTTTATTATTTCTTATATTGTTTATATGATTCCTTTCTACCTTTCTGATGTCTCCTTTCTCTTTTCTTTGGTATCACTTTAATATATAATTTTCTTATAATATAATATCATATCATATCAGCTTTCTGAAACATGGAATCAAGATTCCCATCTCTTCCCTCATTCTGTGGATCCTCAAACACCCCACAGGGGACATCCCCAGCCCAGGAACAGCTCCTTGGGACAAAGGGGACACACATGGGGACACAGCTCCTGCCTGGGCTCCAGGACTGTCACTGATATTCCTGGGAAATCCCTTGGCCAGGATTGTCCTCCTGAGAAGCCTCAGAAATAATTATAACCAAGAATTCTCTGATTGCTTGCAATGTGCTCTGGAGGCTGCTCACCCACTGGTGCATCCTTGGTTGGTTTCATGTGGATTGTTCTTAATTAATGACCAATCCCATCCCAGCTGTGTCAGACTCTGGTCAGCCACAAGATTTTATTATTTCTTATATTGTTTATGATTTATATTATTCCTTTCTACCTTTCTGATGTCTCCTTTCTCTTTTCTTTAGTATAGCTTTAGTATATAATTTTCATATAATTTTCATATAATATCATATCATATCAGCTTTCTGAAGCATGGAATCAAGATTCCCATCTCTTCCCTCATCCTGTGGATCCTCAAACACCACACAGGGGACATCCCCAGCCCAGGAACGGCTCCTTGGGGACACAGATCCTGCTGGGGCCTCTGTGGGGCTGGCACAGCCCTTGTGGTGCCTTTGGCTCCCACAAACTCCTGAGTTTGAGCCTTCCAGGGGCAATTCCATCAGGACAAATCCCAAATCCCTGGGAATGAGGGACTGCAGCCCTGCCAGTGAGGGCTCAGCAGCAGGAGCTGCTGCCCAGCCCCACAAGGGCACCACAAGGCACACAGAGACCAAAAAAGGGCACCAAAGGGCACACAGAGACAAAAAGGGCACTAAAAGGCCCACAGAGACAAAAAAGGCACCAAAAGGCACACAGAGACCAAAAAGGCACCACAAGGCACACAGAGACCAAAAAGGCACCACAAGGCACACAGAGACCAAAAAGGCACCACAAGGCACACAGAGACCAAAAAGGGCACAAAAGGGCACACAGAGACCAAAAAGGGCACTAAAAGGCACACAGAGACCAAAAAGGGCACCAAAAGGCACACAGAGACCAAAAAGGGCACACAGAGATGTCCTTAAAGCCTCCCAGATCCCAGGATTTGAACAAGGTCCCGCTGGAGGCACCGGGGAAAGGCTCAGCTGGAAGCAGAGCAGGGAGGCAAAGGCGGAGGGGCTCAGATGTCAAAGAAATCCACGTGTGCTCCAGAGGAAAAGGAATCCTCCTGCAGGAGCTGGAGCAGCTTCTGGGCTGACACAGAGCTCGGGATGAGCTGCCCCTGCTCCTGCAGCCTCTGGAAGTGCTGGCGCAGCCCAGGGTCCCCAGTCTTGCTCCGGGCCAGGAGCTGCATGTCCGTGTCCAGAGGCCCTGGGGAAAGGAAAAATCACCCAAAAATCACTTCAGGAGAGAGGAAAATCCAGGGCTTGTGTTCCCCTCTGGAGCCAGGCTGGGAGAGCTGGGAATGTTCCCATGGAGAAGGGAAAATTCCTCAGAGTGCCTGGAGGGGCTCCAGGAGAGCTGGAGAGGGGCTGGGGACAAGGGACAGAGGGACAGGAGCCAGGGAATGGCTCCCACTGGGAAAGGGGAGATTGGGCTGGGATCTTGGCAAGGAATTCCTGCCTGGGCTGGAATTCCCAGAGCAGCTGGGGCTGCCCCTGGATCCCTGGCAGTGCCCGAGGCCAGGCTGGACATTGGGATAGTGAGAGGTGTCCCTGCCCATGGATGGGCAAAAAGGGATGGGATAATGGGATAATGGGATGGGATAGGATGATGGGGTGGGATGGGATGGGATGATGGGATGGGATAATGGGATGGGATAACAGGATGGGATAACAGGATGGGATGGGATGGGATGGGATGGGATGATGGGGTGGGATGGGATAATGGGATGGGATGATGGGATGGGATGATGGGATGGGATGGGATGATGGGATGGGATGGGATGATGGGGTGGGATGGGATGCCATGGGATGGGATGGGATGGGATGGGATGGGATGGGATGGGATGGGATGGGATGGGATGATGAGATGGGATGGGATGATGGGATGGGATAATGGGATGGTTTTCAAGTCTCTTCCCCCCAACCCAGGCTGGAATTCCACGATCCTGATGGAAAAACCAGCTGGGAGATGGCCTTGGAGTGCAGCTGTTGCATCCAGCACAGGGAATTGGCCTCTCCCAGCTGTGCTGCTGGGGGCTGGAGGGGCAGGAGCAGGGCTGGGCTGCAGAAATGCCCATCCCTAAGGCAGGAGGAGGAGGTGGACAAGCAGCAGGGAGCTGCTCTCCTCACCTGGGGCATAGTTGAGCACACGGACTCCGGGCTCCTCCAGGGCCAGCACACGGAACATCATGTCCCTGGCAGCCTTCCCAGAGCAGTACAGGGCCCAGCTGGGGAAGGGCTCCAGGGCACACAGGGATGAGATGTTCACCACGGTCCTGCTGCAGCCTGGCCGTGCCCCAAAGGCCCTCAGGGCCGTGGAGGTCAGGCAGAGGGCAGAGCTGATGTTGAAGGAGAAGTAGGAGTTGATCTCCTCCAGGTCGGTGAGGTCCAGGAAGGATTTGGAGATGTCTCCCAAGGAGCCTGGGAATAGCAAATGTGGAATGGTTTGGGGTGGGGGGGATCTTAGAGAATGTCCTGTCACCACCCTGCCATGGCAGGGACACCTCCCACTGTCTCAGGGTGCTGCCAGTGTCCAGCCTGGCCCGGGACACCTCCAGAAAAATGGAAAATGAGTTCTTACAGATGGGATCGACCCCACAGCAGATCCCTTTGGCTGCCAGGTTCCATACCCAGCACTTCCAGCCCAGCCCATTTCGGGTCACAGTGACCCAGCAGTGACAGGGGACAGGGACCTGTCCTGCCACCCCTGTGCCAATGCAAACAGCTCCCAGCCTGGAGCACAAAGTCCCCAAGGGCCACCATGGGCCCTGTGCCAGTGCAGCCCCAGATCCTGCAACCCCTATGGAGCCCAGGGCTGATTTAAAGCCACTATGGATAAAAAGGGCACTGAAGGCATTAAAGGCATGAGGAAGGACCCACAAGGTGGGCTGGAAATTTGTCTGAAAGTTTGGATTCAGGGAGCAGGGGGATGAGAAGGTGCAGGAGGGCAACTGGCACAGCAAAACCTTGGGAGCAGCAAAGCACTGCCAGGAACCCCCCCAATTAATTCCTTTAATAAACCCCCACCGGGACAGGGGGGAAATCGCGGAGCTCCTTTTCTCTTTCGGGTTATTTGCCGTCACCCCAAGCCCGGAACCGCGCGGGGCTGCCCCGGCTGCCCCCGGGGGCGGAGGGCAGCGGCTCGGGGAGGGGACAGGGAGGGGACAGGCGGGGACAGCCGTGTCGTACCGGCGTTGTTGACCAGCAGCAGGCGGCCGAAGGACTCGTCCCGCAGCAGCTCCCGCAGGGCAGCGCCCGCCCTCCGCAGCCCCTCCTCGGAGCCCAGGTCAGCGGGCACGCACTGCACCCGCAGCCCGCTGCTGCCGGGGCCGCTCTCGGGGCCGCTCCCGGTGGCCCCGGCGCGCAGCTCGGTCGCCAGCTCGGCCAGCGCATCCGCGGAGCGCGCCAGCAGCATCAGCACCGAGCCGGGCCCGAGCTGCGGCGCCAGCAGCCGCGCCAGGCTGCGGCCGAAGCCGCGGGAAGCGCCCGTCACCACGCAGGCGGTGGCGGCCCAGCGCCCCGGTCCCTGTCCCGGTCCCTGTCCCTGTCCCGCTGCCCGCTCCATCCCGGAACCCAGCGGAGGGGGCGTGGGAACGCGCCTGCCCACGTGACCCGCCCCATTCATGGCCCCGCCGCTTTGTGAATGGCCGCTCGGAGCGCGCGGGCAGCGCCGCCGCCTCTGATTGGTCGGCCTCAGAGGGCTCGGCCCGCTGAGGGCTCGGGGGGCGTGGTCGGAGCGGGGCGCCCCCTGGCGGACGCTCTGAGGGGGTGCGGCTTCTGTGAGGGAGCGGCGGGGCGGGACCGGGACCGGGACCGGGAAAGGGAAAGGGAACGGGACCGGGAAAAGGAACAGGAACGGGACCGGGAATGAGCCCGGCACCAAGAACAGCCACGGGACCGGGATCGGAACCAGCAACGAGCGCGAACAGGAGCAGGTCTGGTAGTGTGGCTGCGTCCCTGGAGCGCCGGGCCTTGCCTGCCCACAGTGCGGCCGCCCCTGGCCTTTCCCCCGTTACGTTTATTCAATGCACTTTTCAACATATTTTTCAAATATTTTTAAATCAAATTTTTAATCTTTAAAAAAAACTTTAAAAAATATATTTTTAAAAGTATATTTTTAATTTGTTTTCCCCGCGGATGTAAATTCCCTTTTATTGTGCCTGCCCAGCCTTGTCACTTGCTACTCCTGCAGGGCACCAAAGCCTTCCCTCCCCTTTTCCTTCTGCAATCCCGATTTTTGGCACCCAGCACTAATACTTTACTAGGGAGTAAAAGCCCTCTCTGATCCCAAAAAGCCCTAAAATCCTTTAAAAAAAATAAATATCCCTGTGCATGAAGGTGCAGATGGCTTTCAGGGGGGGGTTTTCCAAGGAATACCTGGTCTGTATGGAATATAACCAAGGAATACCTGGTCTGTATGGAAAGGACTGGCAGCAGGGCTCGCATTCCCAGCTGTTCAATGCCAGCCCAGATGGTTCCAGGCAGGTAATGGAGTGGGATTTCACTCAATTAAGCAGCCACAGACTGGGCTGGAACCTTCCAGCACTCTAATAAAGCATTAAAAATTCATGGTATGGCAAAAACCCAAGAGCGCTATTTGTTTTGCTAAAGCAAATCTTACACATTCGGCGAAATTAAGATCATCAGCAAAAAAAAAAAAAAAATAAGACAGCAAATGTGTATTTTTTTCACAAGTAGCTTCTTGATGGCAGAACTTGCTTCAGTCACTGCCAGTTCCCCCCTTCCCACTTTGGCAGCCCCAGTCTCCTGCATCCATCAGGATTGCTGCCCTGCTTCCCAGCCTGGCAGCCACACGGGCTTGGAAAAGGGCAGCGTTTGCTGGCCTGCCCCTTCCAGCAGCCCAGCTCTGCAGCAGGACAGTCCTGATCCCTGCAGGTGTTCCAGAGGACTTGGAATTGCCTTTGGAAGGTGTTCCTGCCCACGGTGGGAGTTTGGAATGGGATGGGCTTTAAGGTGGCTCCCAACCCAAACCATTCTGTGGTTCAGGAAGGATTTTATTTTTAGCTGCTGAAGGTTGCTCCTGCTGAGTTAAATTTTTTAAAATTTAAAAATCAGTGGGAGGGAACTTGTGACCAAACAAGCCCAGAACTGGAACTGGAGACCTGAGAAATGATCATGAAATCCCAGAATATTTGGGTTGGAAGGGATCTTGAAGATCATCTCATCCCAGGGCAGGGACACCTCCTGCTATCCCAGGTGGCTCCAAGCTCAGTCCAGCCTGGCCTGGGGCGGTCCCAGGGATCCAGTGCAGCCCCAGCTGCTCTGGGAATCGCATTCCAGCCCCTCCCGGGAAAGATGAGTGTCCACAATTCCAGAGGCTGCTCTGGGAATCCCATTCCAGCCCCTCCCGGGGAAGATCAGTGTCCACAATTCCCGAGGCTGCTCTGGGAATCCCATCCCAGCCCCTCCCGGGGAAGATCAGTGTCCACAATTCCCGAGGCTGCTCTGGGAATCGCATTCCAGCCCCTCCCGGGGAAGATGAGTGTCCACAATTCCCGAGGCTGCTCTGGGAATCGCATTCCAGCCGCTCCCGGGGAAGATCAGTGTCCACAATTCCCGAGGCTGCTCTGGGAATCGCATTCCAGCCCCTCCCGGGGAAGATGAGTGTCCACAATTCCCGAGGCTGCTCTGGGAATCGCATTCCAGCCCCTCCCGGGGAAGATCAGTGTCCACAATTCCCGAGGCTGCTCTGGGAATCCCATTCCAGCCGCGCCCGGGGAAGATCAGTGTCCACAATTCCCGAGGCTGCTCTGCATCGCTCCCAGCCGGCGCTGGGGGGACTCATTGCGCTCCGAGCCCCGGGAGGGATTTGCGGTGGCTGCCCCGCTCTGGTGTGACAGGGGGCCCTGGCTGCTGTCACCACTGACGTGGCTCCCGAGGTGGCCCTGCCTATTGTCATTGTGGCTGTGGCTCTGCAGCAAGGCGGGGCTGGCAGTTGTCACCCTTGCTATGGCTCCCAAGGTGTCCCTGGCTGCTGTCACCATTGCTGTGGCTCCCAAGGTGTCCCTGGCTGTTGTCACCATGGCTGTGGCTCCCAAGGTGTCCCTGTCACTTGTCCCATGGCCATGGCTCCCGAGGTGTCCCTGTCACTTGTCCCCATGCCCGTGGCTCCTGAGGTGTCCCTGTCACTTGTCCCCATGGCCGTGGCTCCCAAGGTGTCCCTGTCACTTGTCCCCATGGCCGTGGCTCCCAGCGCTGCAGGCAGGGCGGGTGTGGCCTCACTCCTGAGTGGCCCTAAGGCCACCCCAGCTGTGGGACCCCCTGGTGTCTGTCCCCAGCTCATTGTGTCACCTCCTGAGGACAGCCCGAGGACTCCAGCTGCATGCAGCTGGATTGTGGCAGGAAGGAGGGTGGGATGGGATAGTGGGATAATATAATGGGATAATGGGATGGGATGGGATAATGGGATAATGGGATAATGGGATGGGATAATGGGATGGGATGGGATGGGATGGGATGGGATGGGATGGGATGGGATGGGATGGGATAGGATGGGGTGGGATAATGGGATGGGATAATGGGATGAGATGGGATGGGATGGGATCCATGGGATGGGATGGGATAATGGGATGGGATCCATGGGATGGGATGGGATGGGATGGGATGGGATGGGATGGGATGGGACAGGATAATGGGATGGGATAATGGGATGATGGCAATGCATGGCATGGCATGGGATGGCATGGCATGGCATGGGATGGGATGGGATGGCAATGCATGGAATGGCATGGGATGGCAATGCATGGAATGGCATGGGATGGGATGGGATGGGATGGGATGGGATGGCAATGCATGGAATGGCATGGGATGGGATGGCATGGCATGGCATGGCATGGGATGGGATGGCATGGCATGGGATGGCATGGCATGGCATGGCATGGCATGGGCTGAGAGGCACAGCAGGATCCCCACTCCTGCAGCTGTGAGGAGAAGAGGAGCCTGCAGGGAGGAAATCTCTCCCCGTTCTGGGATGGGAGGGGGGATTTCCCTGCTGCTCATAAATTGTGGCCCCTCCTTTGCCATCCTGCAGCCCCAGCACAGAATTCCCACGTGGAGCAGCCCTGGGGTGGGATTCATCTCTTAGGTCTTCAAATCCTGCCTTGATGGAGCTAAGCCCTTCTTGTGGGATTTGGGAGGACTTTAGAGACCCCAGCCAAAAGATCTTCACCCCAGATTTCCAGAGATGGATTTAATGAAAGCAGGAACTCAGATTTGAAAAATCCTTCACAAAGGTTGGTTTTAGTTAAGGTGTCAGGACATGGGTTGGACTCATTGGTCTTGAAGGTCTCTTCCAACCTCATCATTCTGTGAATTCTGGGAAGGTTGAAGCCAGAGCTCCAGGGCTGAAATCCAGCTTCAGTCTGCCCAAGATAATAATTTCCTGTAGCCAGATGAAAAGGTGGAATAAAATCCACAAGGAAACAGAAGTTGTCATTTGGAGCATCCAGCTATGTCCCAAACAGAGATTTGGGGAACACTACAAAAATATTAGGCTTAAAAATTGATTTCAGACCTTAAATGTAACACAGAGCAGGACTTCAACCACTGAGTGCTGTGGCTGGAAAATGTGGATTTATCCTGCAGAAATATTTTGTGGAAGAGTGGAATATTTGGAATATTAGGCTTAAAAATTTATGTCAGTCGTTAAATGTAGCACAGAGCAGGATTTTAAATACTGACTGCTGTGGCTGGAAAACATGGATTTATCCTACAGAAATACCTAGTGGGGACTGGAATATTTGGAATATTAGGCTTAAAAATTTATTTCAGTCGTTAAATGTAACACAGAGCAGGACTTTAACCACTGAGTGCTGTGGCTGGAAAATGTGGATTTATCCTGCAGAAACACCTTGTGGAAGACTGGAATATTTGGGAGTCTGGACTATTTTGTGGTTATGTGGGTGAATCCACGGGAAGCCAACAAAGCCCCGGCAGTCGGGGCCGGGGGTGGAATCCCTGGGAATGCCCCTCGGGAATTCCGGCCTGGCTGCTGCGGCTGGCACAGTGACACGGGGGGTGACACGGGGGGTGGCACGGGGGGTGGCACGGGGGGTGACACGGGGGGTGACACGGGGGGTGACAGCCGTGCCCTGCTCGGGGCTGGCAGCAGCAGCAGGAGCAGCCCTGGCCCTGCGGCTGCTCCATCCCAGATGTGCCCTTTCCCTTCCCTTCCTTTCTCCCAGCAAAGGGCAGCCGAGGCGCGGGATTCCCGCAGCGCGGCAGGATCGCGTTCCAGGGCACCACCGGGTAAAGCACAGAGAGAGGGAGGGAGGGAGGGATGGAGGGAGGGAGGGAGGGAGGGAGGCAGGGAGGGAGGGAGGGATGGAGGGAGGCAGGGAGGGAGGGAGGGAGGGAGGGAGGGAGGGAGGGAGGGAGGGAGGGAGGGATGGAGGGATGGATGGATGGAGGGAGGGAGGGAGGGATGGAGGGATGGAGGGAGGCAGGGAGGGAGGCAGGGAGGGATGGAGGGAGGGATGGAGGGAGGGATGGAGGGAGGGAGGGAGGGAGGGATGGAGGCAGGGAGGGAGGGAGGGAGGGAGGGAG